TGGCCAAGTGTCGGCCTGTCCGAGCACACGTGCAGTGGGTCACCCGTTGACTCGTAGGAGTGAACTGGTCAACCCCCATATCCTGCAGGTCCGCTACACTCACTAAGTTCGTAGAGAACAAGGGGAGGTAGAGCCCTGACAGGGTGCCAGAGGGGGCTGGCGGGCACGGTAAGACAGTGGAGAAGCTAGCAAGGACAGGACCCCCAGAGGGGTCCGCCAGGGAGACTGCAACCGGCCGACTGAGCGGCGTAAGAGTGGTGCGGTCTCGAAAGAAGGAGCGGGACGCACCGAGTCAAGGGTGAAGGTGTGTAAGGCCTGAGCCGACGTAGTACCTGAGAGAGCAGACTCACCAGCACCTAGGGTAGCAGACGCACTAGCACCTAGAGCAGCAGCTTCACCAGCACCTAGAGCAGTGGCCTCAATGCCCGGGTCAGGCGGTACACACAGGTAACAGTCACCCTCAACACTAGTAGTCACAGAATACATGGCAGCAAGGAAATCATCATAGTCAAGATCAAAGATGGCAACCCCCGCCCTAGCCAGATCTCCCCAGCGAGGGATCTCTGACGCCTCAGGGAACTGGCGACGCCACGCGTCCGTCAGGCGACCGAAGCAGCGCTAGGTGGAGTGCGGGCCCCCGCACTGCTCACCAGCTCGGTCGCCGGTACGGAGGACGTAAGTGCAGGGACCAGTACCCCCACCGCGCTGACGCGCAGCGTACCACTCACGAAGCTGCTGAGGGGACAGAGTCACACCACTCCGCTGCTGCTGGCGCGGACCACCACCTGACCCACTCCTCTGCGCAAAGTCGCGACCCGCTCCACCACCGCCGCCGCCGCCGCCGCCTCCGCCGCCTCCTCCACCTCCGCCTCCTCCACCTCCGCCTCCTCCGCCACCTCCGCCGCCTCCGCTCCCTCCGCCAACACCGCCGCCTCCTCCACCTCCACTGCTGCCGCCGCCGCCGCCACCCCCGCCACCACTCCCACCACCACCCTTCCCCCTCCACTGCCTCCACCACCACCTCCATCGCCCCCGCCAGCCCCTCCAGCGCCCTTGCCCCCCTTGCCCTTGCCGGTGCGGCATCTCCCGCTAGGGGCAGACGCAGCGCCGACCGACTCGAAACCAACGAGGTCGGCCGCAGCAGCAGAAGCAACAGAGGGCAAGAGGGGGGAGGGGGAACACCCGTCAAAGACGGGGGTGCGAGGGTCACCACGAGAGGCTCCTACAGCGACTATGCTGTTCTTTGCTGCTAGGAGGCCCTTCTCGAGGAGGTCAACAGTGAGAGTGGTGGGGCAAACTGAGAGGAAGTGGTCCCTGACTACGCGGAGAGAGTCAGGGAGCCGGGTGACTATGTAGTAGAGGGTGATGTATATGGGGGGGGGGGGTTCTTGGCGCAGAACTCAGCAGGAAGCGCAGCGCGGTAGCGAGTGTCACTAGTGCGGAGGTGCGTAATGAGGTCAGCGACTGTGGGAAAGGCAGCAAGGTCAGAGAAGAGGTACGGTAGCATGAGGCGGCTCAGTGCAGCAGTGGCAGGGGAAGAGTAGCGTACAACTACAGCGTCGTACAAGGTCTGAGCACTCTTGTACTGGCTTAAGTGTGCACGCTCAGTGGTCGGTAAGTGGCGACGCACAACAAGACGGGCAGCAGCATCGCGTGTCGCCCACTGTGAGCGAACAGTGCTGTCAGCAGTAGCAGGCGGGGCAGGGGAGGCACCAGAGGCGAGGTCGAACAGAGAGAGGCCGTGTGCCCTATCGCACTGGAGGAACAGCTGGAGGTCATCGACCCAGACCTCAAAGTCAACAGCACGGCCCTCAGCATCAAAAGTAAGGACACTGGGGGTAGCCATGAGTGTAGTGGCCTAGTAGGGAGTGAGCTCACCAGGAGGAACAACAGCGGATCGACAGTAGGGCGGCTCGGCGGCTCGGCGGGTGGGCGGCTCGGCTGCTGGGCGGCTCGGCTCGCTTGGCGGCTCGGCTGGTGGGCTGCTCGGCTGCTCGGCGGCTCAGCTGCTGGGCGGCTCGGCTGCTGGGCGGCTCAGTTGCTCGGCAGGTGGGCGGCTCGGCTGCACGGCAGGTGGGCGGCTCGGCTGCTGGGCTGCTCGGCGGCTCGGTCGCTGGGCGGCTGAGCGGTGACAGGGCCGGTAGAGGCGGCGACGTGGCCGGTAGGGGAGGGTGACGGGGCCGCAGGTGACGGCGACGGGGCCGCAGGTGGCGGCGAGGCCGCAGGCGGCGGCTGCGTGGCCGCAGTTGGCGGCGACGGGGCCGCAGGTGGTGGCGACGGGGCCGTAGGTGGCGGCGGGGTGGCCGCAGGTGACGGCGATGGGGCCGCAGGTGACGGCGACGGGGCCGCGGGTGGCGTCGACGGGGCCGCAGAGGGGCCGTAGAGGGGCCTAGACGGGGCCATAGAGGGGCCGCACGGGGCCTAGACGGGGCCGCAGAGGGGGCCGCAAGGGGCCTAGACGGGGCGGCGACGGGGCCGTAAGGGGTCTAGACGGGGCGGCGACGAGGGCGTAAGGGGCCGTAAGGGCGCCGCGAGGGGGGGGGGGGGGGGGGGGGGGGGGGGGGGGCTACGGGCGTCGCAAGGGGCTGTAAGGGGCCGTAAGGGCGGCGCGAGGGGCCGTAGAGGGCGGCGCGAGGGGCCGTAAAGGGCAGCGCGAGGGGCCGTAAGGGCGGCGTAAGGGGCCGTGAGAGGGGCCGCTAAAGGCGACGCGAAGGGGCCGTGAGAGGGCGTGACGGTAGGGAGGGCACACAGAGCGCGACTCGGGTAGGAGCGAAGCGCGCTCCGGGCAGGAAAAAAAAATATCGTGGTGGGCCCTAGGAATTGTTCCCACTAGGGAACCTGCTCGATACCATGATAAGAAACGAGGAATGAATGCATTGAGCAGAATGAGGAGTACAAGTAGTAAACCCTAAAGTGTTGTACCCCATATGAACTGCCCCACTACAACCTACATTGACTATAGCATATATGCCTGACAACGCTCACACCTATGGGTCAGATATGTATTCTGACAGCAGCACATAAGTAGCATAATACCATTAATATTTATGTTTATGAAATATTACTACCTGTATCTCTTAATTCCCTTACTATTAATACTATTTATTAGTACTATTGTGAGAGATTGAACGTGAGAGCATCCTGACAAGCTAGATGCACTGCCTGGACATTTTACTCCTATCCTGGTTGCTTTTACCGCGAATACGTTTCTTTCGAACATGTAAACATCGCATCAGCTGGTTTGGCTTAAGTCGATGTTTTCACCTGACCAGAACCACCTGACCGAGAGGGCTTCGGCCACCTAAAAGTGCCACTTGATCCATGCCCGCAGTTGAAATTTCGCCGTGGATTGCTGGAGTAGCTGAAATCAGACAAATTGAGTGACTGCCCCAAGAGAAACTTTGGGACTGATAACATCTTGAGCGTCAGGTTGAACTCGTTACTGATTGGCTCTCTGTTTTGGAAGCGCAGGCTTCTTCAGCTGTTTCTCCAGATCTGGCACACCTTCCCGCTGGCTACAGAAGCATGACTGCACGTCACCCCCTCTCGCCTCGAGTCCCCATGCGCAAAGCGAACCCATCACTCCGCGACAAGATAACGCCTCTATGTTTTTGAACCCCTGAGCTCGCACTTCCCACCACTTTGGATCCCCTTCTCCCTCGTTCATCGTTCTGCGCCTTGCTCCTGCCTGCTCATCAAAACCAAATCAAGCATTCCAACTTTTGTTTTTGTCAGCTCGAACTTCCTTCGTTGTGTTGTCCTTCAGTTCTTTGCGTCCAGTTTTTCGATCCTTGTACTTTCCTGCGTGGTCCTAGAGCAGCTCGAATTAGGCTAGCAAAAGCGGTGTACCAAGCAGTCAACTCAAAATTCACCCTTGAAAGGCGCTGCCACCATGTCGCTGCATCGTCTAACGCTCTTCCTGTGCCTCTCCGCCCTCGGCCTCGCTTGTACGTGACGATTATTTCCCCTTACTTTCTTTCCCGCGCGCTTCGTTCTCGGCTCCTCATAGAAGCGGATTGACTCCCAAGCGTGTTGCTATCTCGAACGGAGTGGCGATCTTTGTTAAGATGATGTCAAACTTACTTTCCTCTTCTTCGTCGTTATGCTTGCTTTTCGCATGTGCTGCCTGACGTGTGCATGGTTCTAAATGACGTGTGCGTGGTTCTAAATGACGTGTGCATGGTTCTGAATGACGTGTGCATGGTGCTGCCTGACGTGGACACGGTGCTGCCTGACGTTTGCGCCGCCTCAGCTCTCCTAACAGCACAGGTAAGCCGAGCGACACCAAGCAGACTACCCCAACCGTACCCATGCCTTCCTGGCTAGCCTGTCTCCTCTTTCTGTTTGAGTTTTGAGACGTCTCTAAGACTCAACCGTACCCATGCCTTCCTGGATAGCCCCCCTCCTCTTCCGTTCGGCTTTCGTTCACGTTCTCTCCACGTCCTCCCCGCTCTTTTTGATTCTCCGTCCTTATCCAGTTCGCACCCGCCACCTCTCCCCCTCCCCCCCCCACTCCCCCCTCCCCCTCGCCCTCCCCCTCCCTCTCCAAACGCTTACTTCAACCCTTAAGTCTCGTCGTTTTTTCACGCACCCCTCTCCACCATCTTCCCTAGCGTCCGTGCCGCGAACTTCCCCCCTTCCTTCGGCATTTAATAACTGTTCGCCTCGCTTCCATCACCGGAACTCGCTCATGCTTGCGCCTGTTACTTTTCGCGAGTAGTTCTCCAACCGCCTATTTTAGTTCTAGATCTAAAGTCCTTCTGTCCTTATCGCCTGAACCCGATCAGGTTAGAACCTAGCACGCGAAGCTTTTTAGACGCCTCAAATGACGTCTCTATTTCCCCCCCCCCCCCCCCCCCCCCCCCCCCCCCCCCCTCCCCGTCCCCTCCCCCCCCTCCCGCATCCTCCCCTTCCATCTTCCGCTCCTCGGGATCTTTCGGTTGCTCTCTATCCCTTAACTCGTTCAGGCCACGACGTACTATGTGAGGGGTGGGATGAAGCTAACAAAGCAATCCACTCATTCTCTCTCTCTCTCTCTCTCTCTCTCTCTCTCTCTCTCTCTCTCTCTCTCTCTCTCTCTCTCTCTCTCTCTCTCTCTCTCTCTCTCTCTCTCTCTCTCTCTCTCTCTCTCTCCCCCTCTCCCTCCCTATCGCGCGAACCCGTTCAGTCCACGACGTACTATGTGGGGGGCGGGATGAAGCTTACAAAGCATACAAAGCAACCCACTCCTTCCCTCTCTCCCCCTCGCTTTTCCCTAATCTGTTGCTTGTTCCCTATCCCGCTAACTTATCCAGGCCACGAGGTACTATGTTGGGGGCGGGATGAAGCTTACGAAGCAATCCACGTGGAACAAGAAGCAAATGAACCCATGGAGCGTGCGCAACATGAAGAAATGGAAGGCCCCCGCTGAAGTTAAAGTTGGAGACGAGTTTGGTACGTGACAGCTACGACACGCAAAGTGGTCTAGAATGTTTCTTGAGTCGACTTGAAAGTGAAAACGTGGAGCATGGGCAATATGAAGAGATGTAAGGCGCGTTCTGAAGTCAAGATTGCTGACGAGTTTGGTACGTGAGTTTGGTCGCCTAGAGTGACCAAAAATGGATTTTCCAGTCGACTCGTAAGTCATCCCGTGGAGCGCGCGTGGGCAACATGAAAAGGTGGAAGGCTCTCGCTGAAGTCAACAATGTGCCTTGCGTGTATGTCTCTGAACTTGCAGTTTTTATATGGAACACCAAGGCGGGTGTGTATCAGTACAATGGCGCGGACGAGGGGGATTACGAGGGGTGTGTTAAGAACTCCCAGCGAGGAACCATGCTCGCCCCAACCTCTCTTTTTGGAAGGTAATTTCCCCCCACTATGTTTACCTTCTAAATTGAGAGCATGAAGCTCATAGTACACTGGTCCAATGTGGGTTGACTCTTCTGTGCTTGTGCTTGCTTGCACTCTCTTATCTCGCACTGCTATTCTCTATGTTCATGTGTTGTGGTATGAGTTAAGAGCTAGATGAAGCGTACTAGTACATGAACAACTGTTTACTCATCCATTGATGTATTTCCCGTTGGCAGGTATACCTTTAAGGTGGAAGATTCATGTGTAAGCCTATTCTTTGCAAGCACAGTTGGATGCAAGAAAGGGATGAAGTTCAGAACGTTTGTTACATGTTAGTATTAGGGTGGAGTAGTTTGAAACATGATAACTAGCCGCTGCAACATCACTTATGAAATAAAGCTTAGCTGTTCTGTTCACTAACAGGGATGTACATTGTATTGTATAATAGTGTATGGTACAGTAAGGTTGTCTGATGCTGACGCGTACTTACTCTCATGATGATGAGTGTTAGGCCCACTGGCCTAAATCCGCTAAAGATTAGCGGGGTCGACTAAGTCGAGGATAAACGCTGCGGAAGACTTTGGCGAAAGAGAGTTTTGGCGAAATAGGCAAAGAAGTAACAGAGTAATTAAAGAGTTGAATGAGAATTGATTGCTATGAGGGAATACAAGCAAGGTTGATATAGCATGCAAGAGCAATTGTGGGAAAGTGGGTTGTGGGACTAGGAAAAAGAAGGCAAAGAAAGTAGAGTGCCACGTGACACTAGGAAATCTAGGAAGATAAGGATAAGGGTGAGTTGGAAAGTACTGTTCAAAGTGAACAGTAAATTCCCCCCTTACACCACCCCCCTCCCAAGGAGGCGACGTCCGCAACGTTTGCAGACTGGAGGTACGCTTGGAGGCAAGCGTTGTCGGGAGACAGTAGGGACGAAGGAACCCAGCTGTCGTCTGCTGCGTCGTAACCACGCCAACGAACCAAGAAGTCGACGAAAGAGACACCCCCATGAAGACGGCGACGGTGCCTGAGGTGAGGATGCGCTGGATCTGTGTGAAGAATGAAAGTGTTGGTTCATTGATGTGGGTTGGGGTACATATAACAAACCCTAACATCTGTGCCCCCTAAGACAAACCTCACTACAGGCTACAACATTTGACAATCTGGTAGTCGGGCTCGTCGGTGTCAGCAGCTACAGGCAGCGGAGTTCGATCACGGCCCGAGAAGGTGGCGTTGGGATTGGTGTATGGACGAAGGAGAGACACGTGGAATGACGGGTGCATGCAGAAATGAGCGGGAAGGCGGAGGCGGTATGCAACTGTGTCAGAAAGTAGACTAGGTTAGGAACCTAGGAAGGTGACTAGAGAGGAGGATGTCGAGAAAGGAAGGGGTTTTCACTATTGTGCAAATGGTACAAATAGGAGAGAAGCGAGGTATACCACCGACAGCTAAATGTAATACTACGCTACAGCTACAACTACATGCAGTTATAACAATATAACTCTGACATCCCCCCTTAACTGCATGCAGGAATAGCCAAGTGCAAAACACAACCTGCGGGGGTACACCAAGCAGAACAAAGCAATAGCATCCAAAAGCAATAGCAACCGATGCAATAGTGGTAGATACAGCTGCAGAAATCCCTTAGCCAAGACGAAAGACGAAAGGGGGGGCATGCATGCGGTGCAGGTAGCTTGGAGAGCGGCGTGCGGTGGCAACGAGCGGCGGCACAGCAGGCTCAACGGCAGCACCTGTGCCAACAGCAGCAAACGAAAGACGAAAGACGAAAGGTGGCGACAGGGGCTGCAGCTGTAGGTGCCACGGTAGCAGCGGGCGGCAGCTGCAGATGCATGGCTGCTGTTTCCGCCGCTCTCTCTTACCCTCCATTAACCTGTCTCATCCCCCCTGAACCGCTTTTCCCCCCCCCCTTCCCTACAGCACCAAGTGCTACAAGGAGAGAGGAAGAGGGAAGGAGAGGGCGGGTTGGGGGGGGGGGGGGGGGGGCATGGGCGCTGGCGCTGGCGCTGACACACACGACCGTGCGCGGGTGCGCACGGTTGTACGCAGCTGCGCACTGCTGCTGCTGCGGTCGTGACGGAACGGGGCGAGGCAGGCGACGCGTGAAGGGACGGGACGGCACGCAGCGGGGGCGCGACGGACGGGAAGGGCGCGCAGGGCGTGACGGACGGACAGGGCGGACGGGCGCGACGGGGAGGGCGCAACGGGCGCGACGAGCAGGCCTTCGGAGCGCGAAACGGGGGGGCCTGCAGAGAGCGAAACTCGAGACCCGCGGGGGTCGTCCATGGGGCAATTCGGGGGACCCGTGGGGCGCATTACGGGCTGCGTGACGGATGGGCCCATGATCCTTAAAAAAAAAAAAGGTCCTAAGGATCTTACAGCTCTGGTTACCATGTCAGAAAGTAGACTAGGTTAGTAACCTAGGAAGGTGACGAGAGAGGAGGATGTCGAGAAAGGAAGGGGTTTTCACTATTGTGCAAAGGGTACAAATAGGAGAGAAGCGAGGTATACCACCCACAGCTAAATGTAATACTACACTACAGCTACAACTACATGCAGTTATAACAATATAACTCTGACAAACTGGACCAAGTGCGCGCTAAATGACGAACGGACCAATAAAACGTGGACGAAGCTTGTTGTCCTGTGGCAGTCGGAGGTTGCGGCTTTCCAAGAGAACACGGTCACCGACTGCAAACAGCACCTCACGACGACTGCGGTTGGTGGTGCGTGCCATGTGTGCATTTGCGAGCTCAAGGTGCTTTCTCACGTGATCATGAATGAAGGTGAAATGCTGGTGGAAGTTGTCCGCACGAGGGGCAGTGGGTGTGAGATCGACACGAGTGGGGACATTGGGGTGCTGACCGTAAAGTGCAAAGAACGGTGACATGCCTGTGGACGAGTGGTGCGTGTTGTTGTATGCAAACTCGGCCATGCTCAGCTTCTTGTCCCATGCGGCTGCGTCGTGCATCGTGATGCTGCGAAGAATCTGCTCCAAGGTCTGGTTCACACGCTTAGTCTTGTCAAACTTATATGATTTGGCCTGTGTAGGCTGTAGCGAGTTAGACACTAAGGGGTACACAATTCTAGGGTTTCATATTTGTATCTCTTTCATTCCTTAGTGATTCATTCTCGTTCAATTCCACATGGTATAGAGCAGGTTCCCCTGTGGGAACTGTTCCTAGGGCCCACCGATTTTTTTTTTCCTGCCCGGAGCGCGCTCAGCCTCTGCCCGAGTCGCGCTCCCCTCTCACGACCCCGTCGCGCCGCCCTTACGACCCCGTCGCGCCGCCTTAGCGGCCCCGTCGCGTCGCACCTCCCTAGCGGCCCCGTCGAGTCGCCCTTGCGACCCCGTCGCGCCGCCCTCGCGGCCCCATAACGTCGCGCCGCCCTCACGGCCTCGTCGCGCCGCCCACGCGGCCCCGTTCCGCCGCCCTCGCGGCCCCGTCGCGTCGCGCCGCCCTTGCGGCTCTTTCGCGCCGCCCTCGCGGCCTCTTCGAGCCGCCCTAGCGACCCCTCCACGCCGCCCTCGCGGCCCCGTCGCCTACCCTTGCGGACCCGGCGCCGCTCTTCCGGCCCCGGCGCCGCCTCTGCTGGCCCCGTCGCCCCACCCTTGCGACCCCGCGGCCCCACCCTTAAGGCACCGCTCGCCACCCTTCGTGGCCTCGCCGCCGCCCTCAGCGGCCTCGTCGCCGCCCCACCCCGGCCCCGCCGCCGTCCCTTCAGCGGCCCTGCCACCCTACGCGACCCCGCCATCACCACCGAACCGCCGGCGCCGCTGAGCCGCCGTTGCCGCTGTGCTGCCGAGCCGCTGCTGTTGCCGAGCCGCCCGAGCCACCCGAGCCGCCCGAGCCGCCGAGCCGCTGCTGCTGCCGAGCCACCCGAGCCGCCCGAGCCGCCGAGCTGCAGTTGCTGCCGAGCCGCCGAAACCGCCCGAGACGCCCTGTCCGGTAAGAGCGGCACCTCTACCGCTGCGCTGCCCTTAGCCTACTGCTCGCGCTGCTAGTCTACTGCTTTCATGGCTACCCCCAGCGTCCTCGCTTTTGACGCTGAGGGTCGGGCCATTGACTTTGACGTCTAGGTAGATGACCTGCAGCTTTTCCTACAGTGCGATAGGGCAGACGATCTCTCCCTCTTTGACCTCACTTCTGGTGCCTTTCCTGCCCCTGCTGCTAATGCTGACGCCACTGTTCGCTCACAGTGGGCCACACGCGATGCTGCTGCACGTCTTGCTGTGCGTTTGCCACTTGCCTACCTCTGAGCGTGCACACTTTAGCCAGTACAAGAGTGCTAGGTCCTTGTACGATGCTGTAGTTGCACGCTACTCTTCCCCTGCCACTGCTGCAGTTAGCCGCCTCATCCTGCCGTACCTCTTCCCTGACCTCTCTGTTTGCCCCACCACCCTCACCGTTGACCTCCTCGAGGAGCGCCTCCTAGCAGCAGAGAAGAGCATAGTCGCTGTAGGAGCCTCTCGTGGTGACCCTCGTGCCCCTGTCTTTGAGGGGTGCTCCCCCTCTCCTCTCTTGCCCTCTGATGCCTCTGCTGCTGCGGCCGACCTCGTGGTCTTGAGTCGGTCGGTGCGGCGTCTGCCCCTAGCGAGAGACGCCGCACTGGCAAGGGCAAGGGGGGCAGGGGCGCTGGAGGAGCTAGCGGGGGCGGTGGAGGCGGCGGTGGAGGCAGCGGAGGGGGTGGGGGTGGCGGTGGGGGTGGTGGCGGGGGTGGGGGCGTCGGTGGCGGTAGTGGAGGCGGAGGCGGCGGCGGTGGTGGCGGTGGGAGCGGAGGTGGCGGAGGTGGCGCCGGTGGAGGTGGCGGCGGTGGAGGAGGCGGCGGCGGAGGAGGTGGAGCTGGTCGGGGTGGCGCTGCGCAGAGGGTCGGCTCCGGTGGTGGTCAGCGCCAGCAGCAGCAGCAGCAGCACCAGCAGCAACGTACTCGTGAGCCGTGCGACCGCACGGGTGAGCCGTGCGGGGGTGCGCACTCCACCAAGCGCTGCTTTGGCCGCCTGACGGACGCTTGGCGTCACCAGTTTCTTGAGGCCACTGAGATCCCTCGCTGGGGCGAGCTGTCTAGGGCGGGAGTAGCTATCTTTGACCTTGACTTTGATGCTATTGTGGCTGCCATGTATGCTGTGACTATTAGTGATGAGGGTGACTGTTACCGGTGTTTTCTGAGGAAAGTAGAACGAGAATGAGATGACTAAGGAATGGAAGTGATACAAATATGCAACCCTAGAAATGTGTACCCCATATAGGCTACCCCACTATAGCCTACACAATATTATAATTTGACACACCCCCATAGGCAAAGTGGGGGAGAACATGGGGTCACAAGACCAGTCAAGCAAAGCAGACAAAGCTCAGGGTGGATCACAACGTCACCACACAGTCCGAGCACAAGGTCAAGGCAACAAGGCCAGTTCACATGCAGGAGTACACATATATATAAGGCTAAACAAGCAAGAGCAGGTATTTATATATATATATATATATATATATGTAAGAGCACAAGCAAGGTCAAGGGGTGAGCAAGTGAGGCAAGACAGGCACAAGACCCAGCTGAGTGCAGAAGCGCTGATGATCACAAGGCGGAAGTGCCTTGGTGAAAACATCAGCAGTGTTGGCCTCAGAGGCCACGTACGCAAGTCGCAACTGACCACGCTGCTGCAACTCACGAGCAAGAAAGTAGCGGAGAGCAATGTGCTTCGTTCTGTGCTCCACGCGCTGCTCCCGACACAAGGCCAGCTTGGCCTTGTTGTCTACATACAGCACTGGAGGAGAACGAGGCGGCTCTCCTAGGTCAGTCAGCAGGTAGGTGAGCCAGCGAAGCTCCTATGCAGCCATGGCCCCGGCGTAGATCTCAGCCTCACAACTGGAGCCGAGAACAGAAGACGAGCGAGTAGCCCGCCACGAAACAGAGCCAGAACCAAGACAGAAGGTGTAACCCTGTGACGACCGCTGCGTAGCCTGGTCGTCAGCCCAAGAAGCGTCCGCGTGCCCAGTGAGGACCACTGGACTCCGCCCTCCAAGCACTAGTCCCATGCCCGACGTACTGCACAAGTAGCGCAACACCCTCTTCGCTGCAGCTATGTGCTCTGGTCTGTGTCTCCCAGGAGCAACATAGCGTGCAAGAATGCTAAGAGGGTATGCAAGGTCAGGTCGTGTGCAGGTCATCAGGTACATGAGGCAGCCAACAAGCTCTGGGTACGGGCCACTTGACTCTACGGACTCATCCGAAGGCAGAGCTGAGAGCGAGTGGCGAGTAGACAGAGGAGTGGCCTGAGGCGAGGAGTACGTAAAGCCGAAGCGCTGAAAGACCTGCTGCACCATGTGTGACTGAGTCAAGGTAATGGTGCGGCGTGCTCTGTCCCGGGTGATCTGCAAGCCAAGGTAGCTGCGCAGTTCACCCAGGTCTGTGCACGTGTGTCTCTTCTGCAGCTCGGACTTTGCGTGGGCGAGTCCAGCAGTGTCAGCTGTGGAAAAGACCAAGTCGTCGACGTACACGAGGATGTAGAACGGCGGCAGAGAGGTGTCGGTGCGCAGAAACAACGACGGGTCAGCAGTAGAGGGAGCAAACCCAAGAGCCGCAAGCGTAGTCCTCAGTGTGTCGTGCCACTCGCGCGGTGCCTGGCAGAGACCGTAGACTGGCCGTCGGAGGCTCCACCGGGTGCCAGGAGGGAAAGTCCCAGTGAAGCCAGGTGGACGGCGCAGCCAGATCTCCTCGTGCAGGCTACCCTGCAAGAAAGCAGTGCTGAAGTCAAGGGAGTGAAGCTCGTAGTCACGCTGAGCGGCTATGTGTAGCAGCACCCAAAGAGTGGTCATCTTCGGGGTGGGAGAGAAGGTCTTAAAGTAGTCAACTCCCTGCCGCTGACTCAAGCCACGAGCCACGTACCGCGCCTTGAAGACAGGTGGAGAACCTGGCGGCCGCTTCACCCTGAAGATCCACATGCCACTGACGATGTTCGCCCCAGGAGGGGGAACTGCATCAACGTAGGTGCCTGTGGACTTCCAGGAAGCCATCTCTGCATCCATAGCTGCCTGCCACTGAGAGGAGTAGGGACCCTCTACGGCCTCCGCGTAAGAGCGCGGAGTCGGGATGTCAAGTGCATCCGGGTCTCCCTCAGGGGTAAGCAGTACGGACACGAGATGAGGTGAAGCAGCAGCCAGACACTGTAACTCCTCCTGCCTGTCCTCAAGGACGTCCGTGCCAAGAGCACACTCACCCCCGACGGACGGAGGACAGACACACGCAGACTCAGCAACAAGACTAGCAGCGTAGTCTAGACGACAGCGAGCAGCAAAGTTGACGAGCTCGGCAACAAGAGCAGACGCAGCAGTGGACTCAAAGGAGGGGTCAGTGACGACAGTAGCAAGGAGACGCGTGATAGTAGGACTGGCAGCACGAAGAGAGTCCGACTCTGGGTCGGCAAGTGCAGGAAGAGAGGACTCTGGAGGAGAAGGAAAGGGGCACGCAGAGGAGCAGTGGACGGACGCAGAGACATCCGGTGCGTGCCAGGGACAGGAGAAGGACGCTGACGCGAACCGCGACCACTAGTGCGAGCAGCACGAACAGGCGACGCAGGACGAGACGCAGGCTCACGACGCTCAGCAAGACCTCCAGTAGGACCAGTGTAGGGAGAAGGAGCAGGCAGTGGGGAGGCCGGCGGAAGCTGTGACTGGGACTAGACAAGCGGTGGACACTCTAAGGGAGGAGGAAGACCAAGAACCTGCTGAAGGAGCGGAACGAAGTACGGCCGAGGTCGCGCGGTGACTCCAGACACAACAGGGACAGCACCAGCGCCAACACCACCGCCAGCTGCAGGACTCCAGTAGGACCAGCAGCACCCGCAGCAGGACCAGAGCCAGCAGCACCTCCAGCAGCACCAGCAGCACCCCCAGCAGAACCGTCTCCAGGACTGACAGCAGTAGCCTCAGCGCCAACACCCTCAGCAGCTCCAGCTCCAGGCGAACCCGCAGGCCCAGCAGCTCCAGCACTCCCAGGACGAGCACCTCCGGGACCGGCGGCACTAGCACCCTCAGCGGCCGAAGAAAGCTCCAGCTCCAGCAGTACGCCTCCAGCGCCGGGCAAACCACTCGCCGCAGCTCTGTGGAGAGAGTGGCTCCCGCCGAGACGAAGCACCCGGAGAACCTCCAGGCCCAGCACCGCCAGACGCCACACGAGCAGGTCCAGCGGCCGCTGGCTCCGTACCACCAGGCTTAGTAGCTCCAGACGCAGCACCCCCAGGCTCAGCAGCTCCTGACGTAGCACCCCCAGGCTCAGCACCCCCAGTCGTAGCACCCCCGGGCTCAGCACCCCCCAATCGCAGTACCCCAAGGTTCAGCACCCCCAGTTGTAGCACCCCCAGGCTCAGCACCCCCAGTCGCAGCACCCCCAGACTCAGCACCCCCAGGCTCAGCACCCACGCGCGCAGCATCCCCAGAGTCAGCACCCCCAGGGTCCGGCCGGTCGCCGTCCACCCCGCCCTCTGACACCTCGTCGGCGACGCTGCCACTGCTTGCTGAGGTCGGTGAGCTTGCTATTACGGACGTCGAGGACGTCCGCCCCCCTACCCCTCCCCCTCTGACCCCTGCCCCTCCCCTCGTGGCCGACCTGCGTGGGCTGACCTCGGTGTCGGCCTCCGGCGATGAGGGGAGTAGTGGGACGTCGCCTTCGGCTAACTGCATCGCCGGTGGCCGACGTGACGAGCGGCAGGTCGACGTGGGATTGCAGTCGACGTCGACAGGGGAGGAGCAGGTCGAGAAGCAGGTCGAGGACCAGCGGCCGACAAAGGAGCAGGCTAGCAGTGACGCCGACCAAGGAGCAGTCGGCGACCGGGCAGTCGGCAGGGGAGCCGACCATAGGGGAGAAGTCGGCTGGGACGCCGGCTGAGGAGCAGCAGGACGCCGAGGGCAGCGACGACAGCGACAATGGAAGGGACGCCGAGGAGGTCCAGCAGGGACCACGGCGTTCAGGCCGACTTCGGAGGCCGCCTGACTTCTTCGTCCCCGCTGCCTTCACCACGGTGTACGACGTGGACGATGAGGCCGACGACCTGCTGTACGACGATGCCGAGGAGGATGAGGAGTTTCCGGAGCTCGACCCCCGACATGCTAGCCGACCCCGAGCACCGTTGGGACATCTCGACGATGACGGCCGCCATGGAGGAGGAGATTCGCAGCCTCCTCAACATGGGAACGTGGGAGTTGGTCGAACGTCCGCCGGGAGTGAACGTCATGAAGAACCGGTGGGTTGTTGACGACGAAGTACCACATCGACGACACCGTCGAGCGCGAGAAGGCGAGGCTGGTCGTGAAGGGCTTCACACAGGTGTATGGCGCCGACTACGACGAGACGTTAGCGCCGGTGAGCAGCTACGTCACGTTGAGGATCTTCCTCGGCATCGTCGCTGTCCTCAACCTCAACCTGATGCAGCTCGACATGAAGAACGCCTTCTTGCAGAGCAAGCTCGACCGGGTGCTGTACATGTCTCAGCCGGACTACTTCAACGATGGAACCGGCCGGGTATGTAAGCTGCTGAAGAGCCTGTACGGGCTGAAGCAGTCGCCGCTGTTGTGGTACTTGGCGCTCAACGATGTGCTGGTCGGCGCCGGGTGGAAGAAGAGCCAGGTCGACGAGGCTCTCTACTTCAAGGTTGGCGAGGATGGAGTGGCCTGCTGGGTGCTGGTCTACGTCGACGACCTGCTTGCCGCCAGCAGCAGCACCACGATGCTGAAGGAGCTGAAGGAGCTGCTGGAAGCTGCCTTTGAGCTGCGCGAGATTCTCGCCGGTGCAGAAGTATCTCGGGCTGGAGATCGTGCGCGACAGGTCGGCGGGGAAGCTGTGGCTGCACCAGCAGGGCTACGCCGACAAGCTTCGTAGGCGCTTCATCGACGAGGAGCAGACCGGGCGCACCCCGAAGACGCCGGTCTCGGTCGATGCCTACGCCGAGCTCACGTTCGATGACGAGGAGGCACAAAAGCGGCAGGAAGAGGAGTACCGGCAGAAGGTC